GGTCCCTCCCCCCTCATCTTCCCAGTCCAGCCCAGCGGGGCGGGGGGCGTGGAACCGCGGGCAGGCTGAGCGATGGGAGCGGCACAGAGGGGCCGGCCCAGCCAACCCCCCGCCCCCTCTTGTCCTGAGCTGTGAGCCGCCCCCCGCAACGTGACCCCTGGAACGCGCCTTTGTGTCTCGCGGCGCCGCGCAGGGAGCCGATGCTGGCCCAGCGGCTGGGGGGAGGGGGGGCTGCTAGTGCGCAGGAACGGGTCACACGGCGGGCCTGGCCTCAGCCCCTACTGGCGCGCGGGATCGTGCCGGGATACAGGAGCAGGCTGCGGCCCCAGAGCCCCTGGCGGGAGCGAGGCGAGGGGCCCGTTAATTGTGGATTATCTTGAGTGTGTTTTTATCTACAGCCCGGCTTGGGTGCGGGGTGAAACTAACTCCACCCGCAAGCAAAGAAAATCAAAAAGTAAAAGGCAGGAAAAAGAAAGTCTTTGGCAAACGTGCCCAGCTCCTGAAACGGATACAGAATTATTTGAAATAAAGCAGGCGACGTGTCTTACACAAGCAGCGATTACATAGCGGGGCGCACACTTCGTCCTTTACAGAACATCTGAGCATAGGCACGTTTGCTAAACTATCGAATAAACTGTCTACCCCAGACTTAAACATTATACTTGAACTTCCATTCCCGGCTCTGAGCTGTTTTCAGGCCACACTTTTTCTTTGCTGAGTTACTATATTGTTCTTGCCCCCTTCCCAAGGATGTGTGATGAGAACCACAAGGCTCCAGGACTGCAAAAGTGGCACAAGGCATTAACAGCTTTGAAACACTGTTCTAGTTGTAGAACAGTGTTTCTCAAACTGTGCTCCACAGAGCAGCTCCCGGGGCTCCGAGAGGTAAACAAACTGGAAACATCGATAGGTGCAACACATACAATCAGTGGGCGGCTGGGGCTCCGCGTAAATTTTTACGCATGTAAAGGGCTCCAAAGCCCAAAAAGTTTGAGAACTGCCATTGCAGAACATTCAAAGTAACCAAGTTAGCACTTGGCAGCATCAGAAATATTGAGTCAAGACTATTGCAGGAGACACAAGAGGACAGAGTTGTTTTCAAAACAAGATTAAATACACTAGTGTTTCTTTAGGGTTACTGCAGCACAAAATTTTTAAATATTTTTTTCCCTTTCTGAAAATATCAATGTAATAGTTATCCTTACAATGTGGCAGGACCAAGCAAATTTAGATTATCCTCAAAAGGTGCTTGCCAACATGTTTCTAAAAACTTCCAATGATGGAGATTCCACAGTTCTGGAGCTTAACTTTAGGAAAATATTTCTAATTACAATCTAAATCTCCCTTGCTAAAGATTAAGCCCATTACTTCTTGTCCTGTCTCCATCTCTTAACATTTCTGAAGACTTGTTAGGTCTCTCCCCCTTCTTTTCTCAAGACTAAACCAGCCCAATTTTTGCAACCTTTCCTCATAGGCCTGGTTTTCTAAACATTTTATCATTTGCCCACATTTTTCCTAAAGTGTGGCACCCAGAATTGGACAGAGTACTCCAACTACGGCTACACCAATGCCATATGACTGAATGAAGAAATGTTCCTTTTAAGACTTGTTAGGTCTCTCCCCCTTCTTTTCTCAAGACTAAACCAGCCCAATTTTTGCAACCTTTCCTCATAGGCCTGGTTTTCTAAACATTTTATCATTTGCCCACATTTTTCCTAAAGTGTGGCACCCAGAATTGGACAGAGTACTCCAACTACGGCTACACCAATGCCATATGACTGAATGAAGAAATGTTCCTTTTAAAGCATCTATAAAGTAATTATATTTATAATATTTAATATATATATATATATATATATAATGTTGTTGTCACCCTCCTATTTTAAAACAAATTTATTTAAAAGAAATTTTCATCACGGTAGCAAAACCCAACAAACTACATTTTATCAAAAGTATAAAATTCACTAGAAAATACTGTCCTCTTTTTGCCAAACTGTTACATAAAACCCTTTGATTTACAAATACAATTATTTGTTACAGATAGTACTGAATATTCTATACATAGTGCTTTTTGATATGTACCAAGTATATGGAATCCAAATAAAAACCCATCAAAAAAACAAATCTAGATTATGAAATTAAACCAACCTAGTACAAATCTAAATAAGTTACATCCTGAAGTTCAACTGCATGCAAGTCAGATGCTAATAATATAAACTATATCTGGAAGAGATCACAAACTACATTAAATATGTAGTTTTATTTCCATTACTTTCCCACCCAAAAGTAAATATATATTTTTACACTAGAGCTTCTACAATATTTACAACCGTCTAATAAAATAAATCAGTTAAATATATTTGAAAATAAGATGATTTTTTTCATAAAATATATTGATTTTCTTTGTATGTACAGAATTTACCAAAGGTCTAAATTCAATAGTGAAACCCTCCCATAATACACAACAGTTTGCATCAGCAACTATTAGCAAGAAAACAACCTCTCTGAAATAAGACTAAAAACACATTTAGATACATGTAGGCAGAACAACATCTATATAACATCATATTGTGCAACATTTTAATATGGAGTCAGTGTTTGAGGCTAAAAATGATCATATAATACTATTTCAGGGATCTGTATTTGTTCTATGTAGGCAATCTCTTTGGTTATTTCAAGTCACAACTATTTTTGTTATTTTCCTAGGTATAAAATAAAAGTGTGCCTGTCTCATCTTGGAGATCTATGGCATAGTTATGTAGATTTAATACAGACATCTGGCTAATATTTAGTTAAAATAAATCTGAATTCTTTTTGAAACAGCTTCTATGGAGGTCAGATCCAAAAATTTTAGCATTTTTATTCAGCTCTTCTTCAGGCAAATCTGTCCGTAAGTACAATGACATTTTTGCCTGAGTTATGCAGTCCTGCCCCTTCAAGACACTCTGTATGCAGACTTACCAACATATGACAAATGCCACTTCTACAGCATGTGTCCACTCTATTCTCCCCAACTCAACTGAAGAAATTCCTTTACAGAGGAGCCCTCAGGATTCAAAGCTCCATTGATTTGGAGGGGATGGAGTGGGCTCTAATCAAGTCTTCCCACTGTAGGCCCACGGACTCCAGTGCAAGTTACTGCATACAAAAGTCCTGATCCTGCAAATACTTAGAATGTCTATAGATTCCACTCACAAGAGTCTAAGCCTCTGTGGACTGCCCAGAGTACAGAATTCATGCTCCAGGACATGGCCTAGTGCCAAGTGGAAGTACAGGCACATAGGCTTTCTGTCAGATCTCCTGAGAGTCACAGGCATAGGGAACTGACTGTTCTTCCACAGAAAGGGAGAAAGAAACTCCACCCACCAGAAAAAGAATTCATGGGAAACTGCAACTTGAAAATGATAAGTGGTTTCCACTTACCTACAAGGATCATTCTTGATTAGCAGAGCATTTGACTAAGAACTTGAGGATTTGGCCTTGTAGGCTTGGCTTTGACCGAAAAATGGTCTTTACTCAAGTAATAATCCTGTGTAGACATGGATCCTGATTCCCATTGGTTTTGCACCTTACATGGTCAATTAAGAAACAATATTATTTGATAGCATTCTACCCCACATTTTGCACAGGTGTAAGTACACAAGAGGAAGACAGTGGAGAACTAGGCCCATCTTCTTGCTTGATCTGTTTAAGAGTATGTGCTATTACTACACAAATTGTCAAGACATTGTGGCAAATGAACGAAACATTCTTATTGTTAAAAAACAAAAAAACCCAGAAGGTATCAGGAAGAGCTGAAATTATTTTCATACAATGGTTTTATACAATTTGCACTCCTGTTCTCATATACACGATTCACAAGAGTATGGTTGTGAAGCCCCCAAAACATTTACAGTATTTTATTTTGAAAGAGCTCTCAAACTGCCACTTTGTAAGGAAAGGTTGTGCACCCAAGCACTATCTAATCCTTCATGTGGTTTAGATGCAACGCTATGAATCCAGCACTGTATATCTGTGGAGAATGTGTCATATTAAGGTCAGTACAGATAAGGTTAGCGATATTGTATGTAAGTCTTGGCCAGAAAACAAGGGGGGCAGGGAGAGTTAGTGTAAGCATTTTCCCACCTTTGCTGGATAAAGGTCATATTGAACACACAACAATCTGAGTGTGATGTAAAGGTAAGTGAATACTCAAAAACAGCACAAGAATATTTCAGGCCGAGGAAGGATAAAAAAAAGCATATATTTAAATTTCTGGAAGTGTGCTGTTGAAGCAGAGTAGATCTTCCAACAACTTCACTCCTCCCATCCTGTCTGTGGAGAAAGACATTTGGTGTTCTCCGGAATATGCTCCTGCACTGCTCAATTGTACAAAACCTCTAAAACCTCTGAAAGGGCTAGTCAACAGCACAATTTATTGACACAACAGAAGGTATCACCAGTGCTGCCCAATTACAAATGCAGGGCTTTTAATCCAGTTTTCCAATGAGAAGATGTGAGTTTTTGCTCCACTTTAATTGAAGTGAACCATAGTAGTACCATCTTCAAACCTTAGACTGCATCATTCAGAAACTAGTGGATCTCTCTTTTTGAAACCTATTAAAATGGAAGCTCTAAAATGTACAGTATAAACAATATCTCTTGAAAGCTAACAGGTACAGGTTAAAAAGTTTTCTGTTGAACGGATAGTCACTCTTGTAATATTTCATATTTAGTCAGATTTGTTTTTGCTCCAGGTACAAGAATGAAAAACAGAAAAATACATCATGTCAGCATCGCCAACAAACATAGGGTACTATCAGGAAAATACTGCAAAATCCATTGAAAGCAATTAATCCAGTCAGAAGTGCATAACAATAGATCCTTCCTAGTAAATAGGGCCAGAATGAAATATGTAAAATGAAACACAGTCCAGGTTATACTGAACTGAGAATAAGAAAATTCTGAAGAGTTAAGAATTAAAGGTCCTTCCGTTAAAAGTTTGGAAGGAAATGGAAATAGAAACATGAATTTCTCTGTTATTTGCGGTTTTAAATTATCTCAATGAAGCAGAACCCAGATAAAACACCTTATATAAGAATATTTGTGCCAATTATTTATTTTTCCCCAACACACAAACTGATTAAAAAATGGGTGGGAAGCATATCTTTTCCCCTAGACCTGGATAAAAGAATTACCATTTTTAAACAGGTAGTTTAAAAATTAGTGAGAAATAAACCGGTAGTCCATGTTTCCTGACTGATACATTCAGGAGATATTCAGTAGCTGTCTGAATGTGACAACTCTACATTCACAACTCAGCATCATCCTGAAGTAAATCTGTATCTTCATCATCCAACAAAAGGTCAGCATCCATGACTTCAGTATCTTCCATGACATCTCCTAACTCCTGAACAACATCATCTTCAAGGTTATCTACATGCTCAACGTGTTTAATCAAACTCAAATGATCCAGAGGAATCAAACCATGTCCAACTGGACCAGTAGTTCTTGCAATAGTGGCTGCCATTTCTGCTGCAACAGCAGCTTTCTGAGCCTTCTGCCTTTGCTGTTCTTCCTGTTGTCTGTGGGTCTTCATATGAGCATTGCGACTTTTGATTTTGAAAAACACCCTACAAATTTCAAGAGAAGAAAGAACATTTCAGATGACATCTTACTGCTGCTTTTGAAAAAAAACAAAACTCTGATGTGCTTTGCTTCCTTGCCTTGAAGGAAAGTATGGTGAAGAGAAAACTTATGTACCACGTGAAGGGCTTCAGGGAGAGATTATCAGGTTTCTGCAGTCTATGCTCTTGCCATTAAACATTTATATGGACCCAACGGCTGCAGTATCTGAATGCCTCACAACTGTCAATGTACTTATCTCCCAAACATAAGGGAGTGCTAATATCCCCATTTTATAGAAAAATGAGGCACAGACACACTAAGGTTGGGATTTACAAAGTACTTGGGCACCTAAATGCCACTGTGAATCTCACCCTAACTGATTTACTCAGACTCACACAGGAAGTATGTGGCAGAAAAGAAAACTGAATACAAATTTTGGGACCCCCTAGCTAGTGCCTTAACTGCTGATGCATCTTTCCTCTCTATCTTTTGGAAGAGTTAATTTATGTTTTGTAGCTATCCCTGCCTAGGATATCACTTCCATCTACTAGAGCACTTGCCAACTCTAAACATTTAACAAATTGTAAGTCAGACTTCCCAAAATCATGCTCAGGTGAAGAGTTCCATGAAGACTGGCCACGGAATACAGAACTGAAATGTTATTTTTTCAAATCCCAACTACATGGAATAGAGATCTTAACATTATTAAACTACTTAGCTGCTTTATTCTGAAACAGCATCAGTCCTTGCAATTTTGAAAACTGTTCAAGATTTGATCAGTATCTGCACCCAAAATGTCTGCTTTATGTGATACTTTCATGAAAGTGTTTTTCAACTCACTGCCTTGTAGGCAGGTACAGGCATAGCTTGGCCACTTTATAGGGGCTGTATTGGTTTTTTTTTCTTTTAGAGGTCTACGATACCATATCCAGCTGAAAGGAAACTATATCAGTTGAGCTACCTGAGGTTTTTTTTCATCTCCTGAACAAAAAAGCTAGGATTATCTGCCTCCTTATGCTGAAAGTAGGCAGCATAATTCTTGCATAGGGACTGAATACAGTAGGCAAACTGTCCAAAGCTCCCAAACAATATCCAAAACAGTTTCTCAAAACAGATATGGGTAGGTGGTCATGGAGCGCAGTCCAATGGTTTTTTTTTGGGTGGGTAGAGGAAAAAAATGTCACAGCATACCAAAGGAAATTAATACTCCTTTGAAGCAATCACAGGAAAATAAATTACTACTAGAAACTTGCTGCAGTTCTTTTCTTTGGAATATGAGCAGACAAATTTTCTGTAATATTACAGACAGACGTTGTCCCTTACTTGCCACACTCTTTACAAGGAAAAATTGTTGTCGGGTCTGTCTCGCCACTTGTCGTGCTGTGTGCAGGGGAACTCTTGACTGAGCAGTATCCACTCTGCGTGGTAGATTTTTGCTTTTGGCCTGGAACATTGCATCGTGGTTTTGTCACCTGGTTTGTACCACCATGAATGCGAGCGTGACCATTTAGTGCTTGTCTGGAGCTGAACACCTAAGAAAAAAAGAAATTGCATTAGAACAGCAGTTCAAAAAGAGAAATACATTTACTTTACACGACAGATATATAGAATACTGCACTGGTTAAGAATACAAAGAAGACATTTGGCCAATTCTGTTCTCAATTATACACGATTGAAGTTAAATATTTACTCACTAGAAGATTCATCTGGCATTGTTCAGGTCCTGAATTCAATTAATTTTTTGTTTTTCTTCATGAAAAGGGCTGGTGCTGAGGGGTGCAGTATACAGACTGCCCTGCTTGGGACCAGGTGAGAAGTGCCTCTCCATGGCCATTGTAGCTCCAGCAGGCATAGCCACAGGCAGAATGCATGTCCCCCAGCTGGGGCAGGTCTAGGTAAGGCTGGGTGTGGGCCATAGAAGGACCACCTGTCCCCTAGCAGTGGCAACTCTGGACAGCTCGGCTGTGTCTACACTGGCCCCTTCTTCGGAATAGCCATGCTAATTTAGAACTTTGGAATAGGGAAATGCGCGGGGGATTTAAATATCCCCCGCGGGATTTAAATAAACATGGTGTCATGATTCTGGTCTCTCTTCTCTATGGTTTTATGAGAAACAATCCCATTGCAAGCACATCCCATTTTCCAGGCACAATCAGCTTTAAGCTATGATAAGAGGAAGCTGCATACCTAATTTGGTGATCCTAGCTCTTACTGTTTAGGAGGAGTTTTTGAACTAACAGACAGACAGACTCTCAAATAGATAGTACATTACAGAAACAAAAACGTAATATAATGAGTAGCACTCTCAGTTATTTCATTATTCTTTCAGTATACAAAAATAATACTTGGACCTTATGTGGAGCTTTTTCATCCATCCATCTAGGGGCTAAATATTTATCCCTAATTTTATAGATAGTAAATGTAAGACACAGAGAGGTGAAATGACTTGTGCAGCAGATCAGTGGCAAGGCTAAACATAGAACCCCAGTCTATTCAGTGCACATCTAGTTTCCTATCCACTGGACAATACTGCCCCCAACATGCTTTAAAGATATCAAATATACCTACAGCACCACAGTTTGGCATTTCACAGGTAAAAGAGGCTGCAGAAAATGTGAGACTTTGAAGAGGTGGCAGGTCTATGGGTGCACTAAGAGCTATAGGTGGTGGTTCAGGAGATTTCTGCATTTCACTTTCCTCTTCTTTTATAGATTTTCTGTCTTCTTCCATCTCCTCCTCATCCTCTAAATCTTCCTCTTCCCCACTTGTCTGAAACCAAAATTAAATTTAAGGAAGACTAAAAAGAAAGGTATAACACTAGCAAAAGTTCTGAAACACAGCATCACTTAGTCTCTTAGGGTATGTCTGCACTGCATTCCTCTTTCGAGAGAGGAATGCAAATGCAGCTGAGCAAAATTGCAAATGAAGCGTGGATTTGAATTTCCTGCGCTTCATTTGCATAATCACGTCCAGGTGTTATTTCAAAATACCCTATTTCGAAAAAAGAAACGCTGTCTAGACGTTATTTCAAAAGAAAAGAAAGAGTTACTCACCTTGTGCAGTACCGGTGGTTCTTCGAGATGTGTCCCCATGGGTGCTCCACTCTGGGTGCTGGTGCGTCCTCGTGCCAGCGACTGGAGACTTTTCTAGCTGTTTCTGCCGCACCGTGCAGGCGCCGTGGTGCCCTCTAGTGTCGCTGGAATTGAAGGGTGCCTGCACGCTCGGCTCCTCCATTCCTTCTCTACTCGCTAGAGTATAAGGCTCCAAGCAGGGGAAGGAGGAAGGGTAGTGGAGCACCCACAGGGACACATCTCGAAGAACCACCGTTACTGCACAAGGTGAGTAACTCTTTCTTCTCCTCCGAGTGGTCCCCGTGGGTGCTTCACTCTGGGTGACTACACGGCAGTTGTTGGCTCGCGAAGGTGGGTTTGGAGCCGTGTGGTAATAACTGTGGATGACACAACTTGTCCCACTGCCATGGAGGATGCTATGGAAGCGGAAAGAGCATAATGTTGCGCAAACGAGTGGTCAGATGACCAGGTAGCAGCGTTGCAAATGTCTTGCAGTGGAACGGTATGAAGGAAGGCGGTCGTGGAAGCTACCGCCCTGGTGGAATTAGCTGAGATAGTTCCAGGTAAGTCCTTGCCATATAGGGTGTAACAAGTTCGAATGCAGGATGTAATCCATTTAGAAATTCTTTGAGATGAGACTGCTTGCCCCTTAGATTTTTCAGCATAAGAGATAAAGAGTCTAGGTGAGGCTCGCCACGGCTTCGTGCGATCTACGTAGACCGCCAGAGCTCGTCAGATGTCAAGAGTGTGCCATGCAGTCTGGATTGGGTCAGTGTGAGGCTTTGGAAAGAAGGCAGGTAAGTGTATGGGTTCATTCACTTGGAAGGGGAAGGGTACTTTAGGGAGGAATTTAGGGTGGGGTCGGAGTATCACCCTGTCCTTTGTAAATACAGTGTATGGAGGGTCGGCCATCAAGGCCGCAAGCTCACTCACCCTCCTGCTAGAGGTAATGGCGATGAAGAAGGCTACTTTCATAGACAAATGAGACCAGGAGCAAGTAGCTATAGGTTCGAATGGCGGTTTCATCAGGCTCTTTAGAACGTGGTTCAAGTCCCAAATGGGGACTGGTGGACGGACAGGAGGAAAGGTATTCTGCAGTCCCTTAAAGAAGCGCTTAGTCAGTGGGTCAGCGAGAAAAGAAGCGCCATGCCTGGAATGGTGAAAGGTCGCTATAGTGGTGGCATGTACCTTGATACTGCTAAGTGCTAGGCCGGACTGTTTTAGGGATAGTAAGTAGTCCAGTAAGGTATGTACAGGAGCTAGGTGTGGCGGGCTTGCGTGGGTTTGAGCATACCAGTGGGAAAAACGAGTCCATTTGTACAGGTAGGTTTTCCTGGTGGAACATATTCTACTATTAATTAGAATGCCCTTCACTTGTTCCGAGCAGGCAGTCTCGGCATCCTGGAGCCATGAAGGAGCCAGACATGGAGATGGAGCTTGAGAAAGTTTGGATGAAGAGTCTGACTGTGGTTCTGCGAAAGGAGGTTGTGGTGGAGAGGAAAGGGATATGGGTCTGTCACTGCCATCTTGAGGAGGTAAGGATACCACGTTTGTCTGGGCCACGCACGTGCCACTAGAATGACTAGCGCCTGGTCCGTTCTGATCTTGTTGAGGACTTTGTGTAGGAGCGGGAAGGGGGGAAAGGCATACAGGAGGGAGGCATCCCATGTGATGGAAAAGGCATCTCTGAGGGAACTTTTCCCCAGGGCTCCTCTGGAGCAGTAGAGGTGGCATTTTCGGTTGTTCTTTGTGGCGAAGAGGTCCACTTCCGGTTGGCCTCAGTGCGTCTGTCGATTTCCCATTCGTGCTGGTCCATAAACATATGGCTTAGAGCGTCTGCTGTGACGTTGAGTATCCCGGGAAAGTAAACAACCAAAAGAGTGACCCCATGTGATAGGCACCAGTTCCAAAGCTTGATAGCTTCTGAACACAGGGAAAAGGATCGAGCACCACTCTGGCGGTTGATGTAGTACATGCAGGTGGTGTTGTCCATCATGATGGTAATGGACTTGTGAGCTATGCACTGAGCGAAGTATTGGCATGCATATCTGACCGCCCATAACTCGAGGAGGTTGATATGGAAAGTTTGCTCCATAAATGACCATTTGCCTTGGGCTGTGATGTGTCCCAAGTGGGCTCGCCATCCCATGAGTGAGGCATCTGTTATAAGTGTGAGAGTGGAAGGTGGGCGTTGGAAAGGAACGCCGTGTAGCATGTTTTGAGAAATTGTCCACCAGAGCAGGGAGTTGATGATACGTGGAGGAATGGCGACGGACTTGGAAAGTTGGTCTCTGGAGGACCTGTAAACCGTCGTGAGCCAGGACTGGAGAGGTCTCATGTGGAGTCTGGCTAGGCTGACGACATAGGTCGTGGAGACCATGTGACCGAGGATTTTGAGGCAGTGGCAGACTGTGACAGTCGGCACCGCTTGTGCTGCTCGGATAAGGTCGCATATCGTTGTGAACCTGTGCTCGGGAAGAGTAGCCCTTGCTGTGACTGTGTCGATGAGGGCGCCTATGAATTCCAGCCTCTGCGTTGGGCGTAGAGTGGATTTTGCGTAACTTACGTGAAACCCGAGTCTGAGTAGAAGGGCTATTGTGGTATCTGTTATGGCCTTCGTCTCGTCGAAGGACGCACCTTTTATGAGGCAATCGTCCAAATACGGGAATATTATGATGCCTTGGCGTCGAAGAGAGGCCATTACGACCGCCAGGGTTTTGGAGAACACCCTGGAGGCCGGGGACAGGCCAAACGGGAGCACCCTGTATTGGTAGTGTTGGGTGCCTACTGTAAACTGTAAGAAGCGTCTGTGAGCAGGATGAATTGTAATGTGGAAATAAGTGTCTTGGAGGTCGACAGCCGAAAGCCAATTGTGTTGATCAAGCGCGGTAATGATAGTTGATAGGGTGACCATCTTGAAACAGTGGTATGCGATGTATTTGTTGAGGCGTCTGAGGTATGAGTTGCCACCCTCCCATCTTCTTCTGGGTTAGGAAGTAGGTTGAGTAGAAACCCCGGCCCCGAAATTGTGTTGGTACGTGTTCTACTGCGCCCAGTTGAAGAAGATGTGAAACCTCTTTTAGGAGGACGGTTTCGTGAGAGGGGTCCCTGAAAAGGGACAGGGTAGGAGGGTGGGTGGGGGGAAAGGGAGGTAAAAGGGATAATGTAACCAGATTGAATCAGATCCAAGACCCATTTGTCCGGGGTGATGAGGGACCATTGGTGGAAAAAGGCCCGGAGGGGGTGGTGGAACTGAAGGGTACCAGTTGGAAGTGTCAGTGGATTGGCTTCCTGGCTCTCAACGTGACCTTCAAACCTGCTGCTTGCTGGATGGGGTGCGACGTGCTGCTGTTGTTGTTGCTGCTGTGGTCTACGGCGCTGAGATCTTTGTTTGCAGAAATCGTACTTGGTATATGGCGGGGGTGGATAAGCATACTGTTGTGCATACCATGGGTGCGGAGGAGGAGGGTATGCATATTGAACTGTAGCCGGCTGCCAGGATGGAGGTCTATTTGCTGGGCTAGAGTGTTGCGATGAGAACCTGCTCCTTGGTTCGGTGCCGATGTCACTGACTGAGCGAGAAGTGGCCGGGGAGCGCAGAGATCTCACCGAGTGGATAGAGGAACCCGGGGATGGCAGTGCCGAGGAGGTGTGGCTCTGCACCAGGGATTGGTACTGCTCACGCTTGTGAGACGGTGCAGGGCGATGCAGTTTCAGTGGTACGGTGCCTGGGCTTGCTCCGGCACCGGAGCGCTCGAAGGTGATTTGTCGGCAGGGCCTTTTTCGGTGCTGAGCACGGTGCCGTTTTGGCATGCTTCAGTGCCATGCGCTCTTTTGATAGCACAGTCGGTGCCGAGGACGGTTTAGGTGCCGTAGCCGTCGGTGCCGCTGATTTTTGCCTTGGCTCTGAATGAGCTCTTTTGTGCGGTGCCTGCGTCTTAGGCTGCGACGCGCCAGAGGTTCCTGGCCTATCCTCGGTGCTAACCCGTAATGCTGACGGTGCCGAGGATAGGGATGGAGTTGGAGAGAGACCGGTTTTTGAAGTCGTGGAAGAAGAGTGGGTAGGGGGTTGATTTTTCTCCATACCCTTACTTAGTTGAGGTGATCTAGACAGCGTAGGAGAGTCCGCTGAGGAGGGACGGAAGGACTTCTTGTATAAGAGAGTCCTTAGTCTATTGGCTCGGTCTCGGTGCGCCCTCGCTGTTAGTTTGGAGCAGTGCAAGCACTTCTGAGTCTGTGCACCTCCCCAAGACACTTAATACAGGTGGAGTGCCCGTCGGAAGCAGGCATGGCATCTCGACATGACTCGCAGCATTTGAAGCCCGGCAAGCCGGGCATGAGGGGTTGGGGAAAAGTGGCAAGCCGCAACGAGAATTTTTTTTTCCTTATATAACTAGACAGGGGAGACGAATAGGGCTCAAGAACTTGGATGATGAGGTAACTAGGGAATAAAACGAGGTATTTAACTATTTTTAGAGAGAAGGAAAAAACAGAGGGCTCTGTCTGCTGCCGAGGACGGTAGAGAAGGAACTGAGGAGCTGCGCTTCAATTCCAACGACAATAGAGGGCACCACGGCACCTGCGTGGCGCGGCAGAAACAGCTAGAAAAGTCTCCAGTCGCCGGTGCGAGGACACACCAGCACCCAGAGTGGAGCACCCACGGGGACCACTCGAAGGAGAACCCTTCTTTTGAAATTACCCTTACTCCTTATAAAATGAGGAAAGATTTCTCGAAAGAGGAATGCAGTATAGACATACCCCTACTTCGGGGTCCTTCTTGTAACATTTTTATTTGTCCCACAAATGGGTGACTTTGCATGATCTATTCATAACAAAACAATTAACTGTTGTTACCTGTGTGGAGTTCTGCAATAGGACATAAAACTATCTTTATCCTTAATATAAAGCTGGGGTATTTACATATCCCAGCATGCAATGCTTCATCTATGGCAAATGTAATATTGCTCACATGCTGTCTTGTGAAATTACTTGCTAAAAAAAATTACAGGTTGAATCTCTCTAATCCAGCACTCTTGGAGGACCTGACCATTGCCGAACCAGAGAATTTGCTGAACCATGGGAGGTCAATACTGTCTAGCAGCATTACCAACACTTCCACTGCTTACTGGGCTCTTAGAAGACATTCAGAGGTAAATTAGAGCTAAATAACAGCACAGAATACTGAGAGCAAGACCGGTAGCTGTAAAACAAACTTTATGAGATTACAGGAAACTTGGTCACAGCCATGATAAGTGGACATCCAGTTAACTAAATTCATGCCAGACCATGGATGTTGCTGGACAAGAGTGGTTCAATCTGTATCCATTTTAAGGTTTCCCAAATTACCAGGGCATTGAACTCACATACAAATTAAGACTTCTTTGTTAGCGTAGGCAAATTACGTTTCAAAAGATATAGGCTATAGGAGTAAGGGTCCAACTTTTCATACATTGAGAATTACACTGGCAATCGTACTTATATTACACCCACCCAGCCACCTACCTACCCAGGAAGGTTTTCAATATTTTTCTGTTACAGTGCTACCAGCAGCAGAAGCACACATAAGATATACATGTTGCAAGAGCAGAATCTGATACACATTGGTATAAATGCTTGCACCCTGAATACATTTCAGTTTCCACAGTTAGAAAGAAGAATGAAATTACAATGTACCCCGTTCCCCCTTTTTATAGGTATTACGGTTTCATGTTTATTTTTAAAGCTTACCAAGCATTCATCTCTTATTTCTGCTAGACGTGTTCTATGTTTCCGTCCCAGACGCATGATTTTTTTCCAAGTGTAGTAGTATTCCACACACTGTGCAACTGTTTTAGACTTCACCTATAGTGTCAAGCAATAATACAAACATTCCAACAACAAACATTATAAAAGTTTGTTTTGTTTTTACTTGTCCTCAAAAAACAAGAGTAATAAAGATAACAGACTGAACACAATTTCTGACAGCCCATTTTTCATTTCTTTAGTCCAAGACTGAAACTCAGATCCATAGTTTATGTGGCTGCTATATGAACATTCCCATGAGCTATTCCCAGATAAAGCTTCAGTACAATGTTGATTGACCATACACAGCAGTAACTGCCAGGTAAAAAAATCCTCAGAAGGATATTGTGATGTTCTAATCCCCTTCTTCTCCCCAAACAAAACAACTGTTAAAAACCCAGAAAACTCAGAATTAAGGTTTTACTTACACAAACCCAAACATTTTGAGAATGGAAAATGACAATTCAAATACCTTAGCTCTGCCTCCAGAGAAATGCCAGCCTCCCATCTTTCCTTCTTTGTGGTGGAATACCAGAAACATCTACCTGAAAACGCTGCCTTTATCATCTCTCTGATACTAAGTGTGGTGTTTCATTACCACTTGGACCTGGTGCCATAATTTAATGATCTGATCCCCCAGATCTACTATACAGAGAGACACACTAACTCAGTATCACATGAAACTCGGATAATCCATTGACATAGAATCACAGATCCAATTCTTTAAGGTTCCAAGATCTCTCAACACTTTGAAGTATCTGCCCTCCCAGATCTAGTCTTGCCAGCAATGGATTCAAATTTGACTGTGCTGAAAAGGTGTTTTTGGTGGCTTAATGTAAATCCTTTTCATTATGCCTGAGGCTTGCTTTCTTTCTTCTCCCATTCTCTCAGGTGTGGAGGGTATCAACCCGTTTCCACCATTTATTTTTGTCTTGTATTGTCTGTTAGTAGAGGGCTACAGAACTCTATACCAACAGGTCAGAATGAGGCGCCAAGACACCCCACTCTGATTCATAATTGGGAAGAGCCACATAGGGAGCTAATCGGGAACTCATGTGGAGTTGCAGGCCCTCCACCTGCCCTTGCCTGGGTGGAGAATCTAAACTTCGGTTCCTCCCAGCTGCCACTCTTACCATCAGAGTCCTGTGCAGATATACAATTTGTTTCTACATCTGCACAGCTACTGCAGAAATGATGCACAGATATAAAGCACATAACCCACAGATTTCCACAGCTCAACTATTCAAGCTTCTGAGAGACAGGCTAATAGATTGGAATGGTTTAAAAAACAGGATTTTGAAAACGCATGCTGGAATTTACTGTTACTTTATAAAGTAACAGAATTCCTAGTTCTACTGGTGCCATACACACATACGTTCTTGAATTCTTTATTCATTATGCAATCCCTCTAACTTCCATTTGTTCTGTGAATGCAGTAAGTCAGTCTGTCACTAAAGGGTGAAGAACAGGAAGACTCACTCAAACTGAATATGGCAAGAATGACCTCCTGAGGTCTCTTCCAACCCTAATCTTATATGGTTCTATAATGCTATGAAAGAGCAAAAGGTTAAAAATGGCAAACACCAAAACCAGAAGGCTCCTTACCATTTTTTGTACAAAAATAAAATCTTTGCTGTAAGTGGATAATGCTTTGTTAAACAATCTTCTTTCTAGAGGTGTCCACGTGTCAGATCCTAAAACAAATGAGATATTATAAACAGTTTGTTTTCTAATTGCCAGCCTCCTTTATCTTTATTTGTACGAGTCTGTTAGGGTACATCTACACAGCAGAGCTGAAGTTGAATTAAGCTTCCCAACCCCAGCTACGTCAACTACATAGCTAAAGTTGAAAGAGCTTAATTCAGCTTTTGGAGCAGTCTACCCGGCAGGAAGTCGGAGGAAGAACACTCTTCCTTCAATTTCCCTTACTCCTTGTGAAATGAGGGTTACCATGAGTCAGAATAAGAAGTACTCCAGCTCAATATTATTTTGAAATAAAGGCTTGTAGTGTAGATGTGCACTATGTTATTTCAGGATAAAATCAGTTATTCTGAAATAACACAGCTGTGTAGACTTACCCTTAGAGCAGAGGACTGGGAGTCCAGAATGCTTGCTTGTAATACTTGCTATGGCACAAATTCACTGTGTGACCCTGAACAAGTTGCTTCTCTGTGATTTAGTCCCATCTCCAAATTGGACATGGTATTTAACTATTTCATTGTGTAGCCATAACTGCAAAGTGCTTTGAGATATCTGGATGGAAGGTGCTCTACCACTGCCAAGTATTATCATCTATTTATTTTGCTAGATTAGCTACCCAGGAAAAAATAAATTTCCATCTCTGAACATTGGTATTAAAATCTAATGTGGACCCTCCAAGTGAATTGGTATTCTCACAGAAATCTTTAGTGGGCACCAGTCAAAATATGAGGAAATCAGGAGCTGCTCTCCTGGATCAGATTCTGTCTGCAAGTGGACAGCACTCAATGTTTCAGAGGAAGATGAAAGAAATCTCATAGTGGCCAGGTATGGAATAATCTGTCCGTGTCAGATGTTGCTTCCTAATTCTATTAGTGGATGGTTTATTCTCCAAAACATAAAGGCTACATCTAGATTGGCCCCTAATTCCGGAAAAGTCATGCAAAGCAGGTAAGTCAGAATAGGGAAATCCGCGGGGGATTTAAATGTCCCCCGCGTGATTTAAATAAACATGTCCGCCGCTTTTTTTCCAGCTTGGGGAAAAGCCGGAAAAAAGCGTCTAGACTGGCGTGATCCTCCGGAATAAAGCCCTTTTCCGGAGGATCTCTTTCAAGTAGGAGTAAGAGATCCTCCGGAAAAGGGCTTTATTCCGGAGGATCACGCCAGTCTAGACGCTTTTTTCCGGCTTTTCCCCAAGCTGGAAAAAAAGCGGCGGACATGTTTATTTAAATCACGCGGGGGACATTTAAATCCCCCGCGGATTTCCCTATTCTGACTTACCTGCTTTGCATGACTCTTCCGGAATTAGGGCCAGTCTAGACGTAGCCCAGAGGTTTTAGCACTTTAATATAAGTGTGGCTTTTATCATTATATATATGCCTCTCCTTCTTCTGAGGCTATCCTGTGGAACTGAGCTCCATGGACTAATTATGTCTTGTGTAAAAATACATCCTTTTATCAACTTTCAGTTTTTATTGCTTTTCAATTTCATCTTGTACTTATCAATTTGCGCCTGCACCTCCTTTGACATTCTTAATCAAAGGAACAGTGCCTCAGTTTTATCAACTGAAAAGAGTAAGACTATGGCACATATCTCCCTGTCATGACCTCTGAAACAGCATTTTCTGAAACAGCTGATATCACTGATATCTGCAGTGATATCAGCCTTTTATTGTTTAAAGGCATTTCTGATATCAGGGAAAAAGCAATATTAGCAGTTTCGATCTAGGTTTATATGAAATCTTTCTGTATGGCCCTTACATAATGGGACTGATTCATAGGCTGAGTTTCATTCATTGTTCTTTTATCCCCTCAGGGTTGCCTTCTGACTCACTGCTCTATAAGCAGCCATTTCTCCAATTCTGGCTCTCTACTACTTAGTATTTTTCCTATTTGCATAACCTTCATGAATACCTAATCATCTTCTAATCATCTCCAGCAATCTCTGCTGTTTACCTGGTCTGTTCTTGTGTAAATTTACTACTTTATTTTTCTGTGCCTCACTTTATTCATATTAAAATGGGAACCATGCTTATCTCAGTAGAATGTAGTGAAGTTTAGTTTTTGTTACTGAAATATTTAAGATCTTGGAATGAAAACTGCTTAACATGTTATGACTTAAACTGTACCCTTTTCGCAAAACTGTACAGCTTTAAAGCTTTTTAAAAAAAAGATGATAAGACATAAGCTTCAGCAATCTGCTTCATTTGTCTCTTCTTTTCTTATGAATTATTACAATGAGCTAAGGGTTAATTTACTGCACACCTAGGAGGTTTCCTGAAAGTTGTGGAGTTATCAGCAGGGATCCCAATATAAATATTAGGGTTAATTAAAGCAGCCTAATTAACTAGGCTAAAACCTCTGTAGGAAAAGTAACAGGAGAAAAGCTGTTTTTAACTCTGGTTGCTGGGAAACTGATTTTGTACTTGCTGGCTGTGGGAAACACGGAGTTGCATATAGGAGTATCTGCAATGCAGTAAGAAAGAACTGAGACTTGGAATACGGATCAGTTTTTAAAGCAGGTCTTTATATTTTGGCTGTTTATCCTATGCTCCGTTGTATGTGTATACTGAGAGAATGTTACTGCAGTAAATCCCTTTTGACAGTAACAGACAGTAAATCCCTTCTACAAGCAAGGGGAGACATGTTAGATTAAATCATTTCAGTGGGTCAATTCAGGCCCCTACATGCATAGCACGAGGTACATGTAAGATAATATATGGCCTACATTAAAAAAAAGTGTCTTTTTTTTTTTATTGGATGTTTACTAACTGATAGGAACACACCACTGTTTCATGCAGTCTCTCTCTTACCCATTTCTCAAATGAGAGTACTGCAGAGCTGTTTACCCAATTAACAAAACCCTGGTGCAGTTCAAAGGACAACAGATCTTCTGTTTGGGGTTCAGGCTATCTTAGGGCATGTCTACCAAGCAGTTCAATTAAGCTACACAACTTCAGCTACGTTAACTGCGTAGCTGAAGTCGAAATAGCTTAATTCGGCTTTTGGCACTGACTACACAGCAGGAAGTCAAAGGAAGAATACTCTTCCTTCAACTTCCTTTACTCCTCACGAAATGAGGATTACCATGAGTCGGAGTAAGAAGTCCTCCAGCTCGACATTATTTTGAAATAAAATCTTGTAGTATAGACGCGCTCTTTGTTATTCTGAAATAACTCTGCTATATAGACATAGCCTGAGAGACCACCTTTTTCTGAATGTTATATTCTGACAGCTGATAGTACAGAAAAAGAGACGGTCTCTAAAATAAACAAATTAGTGTGTTATTCCTGTTATTCCTAAGTTTAGGAATAACCATCATTCTTGGTGTGTGGATAAGGACACTTAACATTTCACATATCCTTCCTTCATTAGCCTGACAACGTCTCAGTATGCTGACCTTTGAAGTATGGTTCAAAGTCCCCTTATTCACTCATTCTTTTGCCTAAAATGTATCTTGAGCAGCATTATGAATATCCCATATTTGAGGAATTGTTAAGAATCCTCATGAGTCATCAATGTGTCCTATTTTGATCTAGCTCTGCTTTACATATACACCAAGGAGCTGTAATAAATGAAATTTATATACTGAGGAGAGGAAACCAAAACACACAAACTATTCACTAAAGGTATAAAGTTTGAATTCAACTAATTCTTGCAGTTAGATTGTTTCCCTGCAATAACACATCCTATATAAATAGAGCAGCTGATTGACCAATAATCACCAAATAAATTACCTTATAAACTCTCTAAATAGCCAGAAAGGTATTATCAATATCAGATGCAACAGTACATTGCACTGAAGAATTTCAGATAGCAGTTTTGTACTTGGCTTTCTATAGTTTAATAGGGTTTAAACCTGGATTGGTGAGATTATGATTCATCATGTAGTGTACTGACTCTAATGTTCATCAAGTTTCTTTGCTTGAGAAATTCTGGTCCTTTTACTTCACCTGGAAGACTACAGGGTACAGGATATCTACAGCTCTAATAGTAGTTGGCAGACATTTAACTGGAGCCCTATCTTGTAAGTGCCTTTGTCACTGTGAATTACTTATAGAAAAAGATGCAAATTTGTTTGATTGAAGATGAATACTTAAAATCTAGCAGACTAATTCTTCACCAAAAATCTCTCTTCTAGTTTCTGATCTTTATTTCACTCTTATTGGCTAATTACTGATCTAAACAATATTAGGTGACCATAGGCCATGGCTGTACACATCACTGGCAGTAACCAACTATAAGAGATGTGGCTTTTCCTGCAATATAAATAACTATTTTTCTCTTTTCGGTTGAAATGACAATTGGTTTTCTCTGGGTGAAAGATAGAATATTCCCCTCAAAAGAACTGCTCAGGAAAAGTAATCAGCAACCCTTCCATCCAAACCAAAGACCCACACATAGACACAGCGTATTTTTAGTACCTAATTTTGTTAAGGCTTAACACATGCTTTAATAGTGAATTTTAAGTTGTTAATTTATCCTTGAAAGGAAGGAAACTGTGGTCTAGATTTGCCCCTGCATCTAAGATCTATGGACAGGGGGATTGGCATGGTAATCAGGGATCGGCCTATGGTTGCTGCCTGATATATTGGAATGGTATAAGTCTTCTCAGGTGTTTTAGAGCAACCTAGGGACTGCTCCAAGTTACACCAGTGTAGGATCAACATAGTATGGTGAAACTCTTCATGTCCACATTTTGGGATGGCAGCTGACACTTGCACCATGCTGCAAACAGTACACTAGTTTAGAGCTCCCCCCATCAAGTGAATTCTCCACTGAGTCACCACTGACAAAATTTGGCTCCTCTGCGCTTTCTAAGTGGCACAATGGTCTCTGGCAAGAAACCAAAATCTGCTCTCTATGTTTAGATTATCTGAACATCAGGAAATTCTTGGATTGTTTCTTTTCAGTGGAAGCTGGAAAGAATGGTTATGCTCAGGCTAGAAATCTTACTATAGAACCTGTGCCAACTTTGCAGGAACAGTTGTTAGACACAAAATGTGAAGTAGCGGGGTGAGAAGGGACTTGCTTCACCTATGGTTTTTATTTTTTAATCTTTAGTAACATATAAAGCTTAGTGGCTGGCCAGAGTATGTGTTTCACAAGGTATTTTCAAATATGAAGAAAACGGGATTCCCATTATGTGTGTTGAAGTAGAAGGGCTAGAGTTATTTGTTTTAGTCTAGATCTACACAAACAATGATTCTGCATTTAGTAACATGAAAACAAGAATTATTGTTTTTAAGCTGAACTTTGCAAGAATTATTTTCTAAGCTGAACTTTGGACTTTTTATGCAATGACCATAAATGTCCTTACAAATATGTAAACATCAGAAAACTCATACAAGGAAGGTAAATTTGTACATTGCTGAAACTTTGGTATAAAGAGGCTAAGGGACCAGCTCAAAGTTACAAAAAAAGCTACATCTTTAAAATAAATTACAATAATTTCCATCAGATCAATACAGTTAAGTCTTATATTTTTAAAGTTACTTTAGGATATTTGGGAATTGTACCTTTTAATTTCTGTAGTAGAAAATGCAGAGCAGTACATAAGATTGAACATTCATTTCTCATTTGTGTTTCAATACAAGGGGTCAGATATGAGCCATGTTTTTACATAGAACTCTGCTATTTCAGTGAGGATTTTTTTATTTGAATTAATGCCAGAAATCAGCCTAAATTGGTACAAATATCTATTAAGATGATGTACAAAGAAGCCCCCAAAAAACAAGGAAGATTCAGAAGATTCATCTCTCCATCATTAAGAATGTTCCCTTTCAGTGATAGGAGAGGATAGTTTGAGATGCTACAGATGTTTTTGTAGCATCAACTATTTAGAATCTTTTTTTTAAATCATCATAGTTTACATGTTATTATATCAAATCAACACAGTGTATTTCATCATCTCTTTTTCTCATGACATGAAATAAAAAAGCAAGATAATATTAACATAGCCAAATACTGTCTGGTTACAAAAATCTGACCAGAAATTATGCCAAATAAAGGAAAAACCTGTACGAATCAAGTGGTTTTTCTCAAAATTATGTGTGCTTTGTGTGTGCTCTTTATAAAATGTAAATACACACACACAGACACAAACACCCCCACACAGGAACCTACCAGCATAATGGTAATTTGCCAAAGGATGACATTTCAATCTTACTGGCTTCCTCAATAGCAGCATTTCCAGGGCAACCTACAAAATATAAACAGAAAAGAACAGAATGAAATAAATCACTTATAAATGGGGTATAAATGTACACAGAACAAACGTAACAAGTTTTACAATACGTGACTAGATTCAGTATCAACTGGATTTATTTTCTACTTCTTTATATTAAAAATAATAATCAAATTACTCTCCAAGACTCACTATGCTTCATCTCCTACAAGAAGTCACCCACAATCAATTAACTAAAGATGGCCAGACTGAGGTATAGTCCGCTGTAGAGGATATTATTTATTTTTTAAAGAAACAAACAATTTCCTGACTTGAACCAATGCAGTAGCGTATACAACTAGCCTTTGTAACTAAGTAATCATTCTATGGTTCCCTACGCCTTCACTTCCCCATTTTTTCCTCCGGGTTGTTACCTATACTGGCTGCATCTTGCCTTAAAGTAGATGGTAAGTGATCTGGGGAGGAACTTTATTTTTCTATTTGTTTGTACAGCCCTCAGATGTTACTATAACACCACCAATCCCAAACCATTCATCTCTTTAAGTGAATTACCCACATGACAACAACAAACAATCATACACCACAATTCTGAACAATTAAACAAAGATTTGACATGTTTTCACAGAAATTGGCAGATGATTAAATCCTGTGGCTCTTTCCATTGAAACAAAGA